TAGCCAATCAATACTTAGGTTATTTTAATGCAGATTCCTGGCAAACAACTTAGAAACTGGTCTCCTGGTTTTTCCCCTTAAAGCCCAATTAGAACCGCAGCTAATCAGAGCGTATATTCCCAGGCAGCTTGAATCTGTGCTTCTGGGTCATAGTCCTCAAACTTGGCCTAAATAAACTGTCTACTTATATTAACTTTGCCTCAGTTTTTTCCCTTAGGTCAACAAATGGGGGTGACAGAGAGCTATTTCCTCCCTTGCTGCCACCTCCAATCAAGCAGGCCGTATGTACACCGCACCTTGTTAACAACCTCTTTTTGTGCCCTCTAAGGCACATACAGGCATTTCTGCTATGATGTGATATGCGTGTTCCTAAAGAACCTGACGTTCTGCCATGTGGCACATGAAAATAACAGGGTTTGGCCAGGCGCAGTGGCTCACGCCTGTAATCCTAGCACTCTGGGAGGCCGAGGCGGGCGGATCCCTCGAGGTCAGCAGTTCGAGACCAGCCTGAACAAGAGCGAGACCCCGTCTCTACTAAAAATAGAAAAAAATAGCTGGAGAACTAAAAATTAGCCGGGCATGGTGGTGCATGCCTGTAGTCTCAGCTACTCGGGAGACTGAGGCAGAAGGATTGCTTGAGTTCAGGAATTGGAGGTTGCTGTGAGCTAGGCTGAGGCCACGGCACTCTAGCCAGGAAAACAGAGAGAGACTCTGTCTCAAAAAAAAAAAAATAACAGGGTTTAAGGGAAAATAGGGTTGACAGACCATTTGCATACTATGCAATTTTTTAATCTGAATGCAAACAAAACCAGCTGCGGTCCTGGTAAACACCGCAGCAGAGGTAAATCTCACCAGCGTTTGTTCGTACTGGCAGCCCAGCAGCACAGGGGGTCGTGCTCTCTCTTGTAAGACATCAAAATTTACAATCTGATTCAGGTTATAATCAACTAAAACAAACCATACGTATGAAATGTCTTCAACTGTCCTCCTAACTCCACCAGTTACTTTAAGATTACGGAAAGCTTGGAAACCTCTAAGCCAGCGGTGGAGTCCTTCTGCAGAATTTGTAGCATTTTCTCTGTAAGGTCTTCATATGTTGCTAATATTGCTCTTTCATTGACCGAGTGCTCACCCCTGACCACCTCACACTGCTAAGCGCACGAACACACTTTCTGCATTATTCTGACAGCCTGCCCCCGTTCATCTGCCAATGAGCTAATTCAGGGCACAGAAGCACATACCGAGGCAGAACAGACGCCACCATTTGCACAACCAGAGGCTTTGATAGAGTATCTTCCTGTTTTCTGTCCAGGCTTTTGGGCATGTGTTTAATGGTTTTATCGGTGAGAATTAGGTTCAGCTACAAGCGATAGAAAACAAAATGGAGGAGTATTTTTCTTTCCTGCTAAGTCCAGACGGGAGATCTGGAACTGGTAGGCGCTCCACAGGGTAAGGGACCCTGGCTCCTCGTTGCTCTGTCCTGTGTGGCCTCAATCTTGTGACCCAAGCTGATGGCATCCATATTCCAGGCAGCAGGATGGAGAAAGGGACAAAGAAGAAAGGCTTCTGGAAGCCACTATATGGCATTTTTGCATGCGTTGCATTAGACAGAACTTTGTCATATCTCTGTACCAAGTGCAAGGGTAATGGGGAAATGTCTTTACTTTGGGCAGCCCAGGTCATGCCCACCATTCTATCACCGTAGAAGGGGGACCAATCAACTGGATTTGGGGATGGGGAGAGGGAGACACTAGCAGTCTGTGCAATAGAGGCTGGTGGCAAAACTTTAAAATTCCAGAACATTCCTAGCAGAGGTGAGATCAGCAGTGACTGAAGTCCTGGCGTCATTGTCTGCTCTCAGAACAGCCCAGAGGCTTCCCAGCCTGCTTTGTGGTGTGGTGCTAATCCAACATTTTATGTCCTAGTTAAATTTCTCTTATGTAAAACATTTGTTTTTAATTCTCAAAAGCTTTACTTTTAGAAAGATAGTTTTTATTTCCTGTTTTCTTATTAAAACAGTAACAGAAATGCTGCTGTCTCCCCTCCCCATCCACTGTTGATCACCAAGTTTTGTCAATTTTACATCCTAAATATCTCTCAAATGTGTCTGCTTCTCTCATCCCTACCACCAGGCTGGTCCATGTGGCCCTGGTCTCTCACCTGGTCTACAGCAAAGAACTTCCACCTCTCTCTCACCCCATTGCCAAATCCAGTGGTCTCTTGTCCCCTCATCAGTTCCCCCCTGGGCAGCCACAGTGAACTTTAAAAACAGACATGATCAGTCTCCTAAACTCTTAAAGCTTCCCCTACGCTCCTAGAACAAAAAGCAAGCTCCTCAGCACCATCTACAAGTGCTAAATATAGTCTGGCCCTGCCCACCTTCCCAGCCTCCTTCTCCCACGCTCTTCCACTCTGCTTTGTGCCCTTTGGCCACACTCTCTTCTACCACAGGGCCTTGGCACATACTGTTCCCTATCTGGAAGCTCTCTCTACCACCCATCCCCACCCTCCCTTGCCTCGATAAGCTCTGTTCATCCTTCCTCCCAATCTCAGCTCAAGGTCACTTTTGCAGGGAAGGCTTCCCTGAGCAGCTCCACCCTCTCTCCCTCCCGCCACACCTTTAGATCCCTTTTATAGTTAAAAAATTCGTCACTGTACTTACTTGACTAAATTCTGTTTCCCCAGCTAGAGTCTAAGTCCCATGAGGCCAAGACTATTTTTGCACCCTACTGTATCTCCCCTGGAGTACAGCAGGAGGCTCAGTAAATGGAATATAAATATATGCTAAAATTAAAATTATCCATAATCTCATGTTCCAGAATAACCACTGTTTCCAGATTCTGATAAGTGTTCTAAAATTGTGTGCTGACACTAATGTTTACATTTTGTGTTAGGGGTAATGATCTTAGAACTGGGATCTCTTGGCCAAGCACTTTCTCCATTCAAACACAATCTAATGTGAGAGGTTAAGAGGGCCAAAGCCATCGCCCTCTGAGGAGGAGGAAAACTGGCTCTCTTCGGGTCCTTGTTTTCTGTCAATGACAAAATCCTAATGTCATTTCCCCATGAGGAATCAAACTGTAGAATGGGGAAGGGCCTGTCAGCACCCAGCAATGTCCCTATAACTGCTTTTCCTTTTAAAGTGATTTTTTTTGGCTTTCATCAGAAGTGGTTTCAAAACACATCAGTTTCTTGGAAATGTACACGCTCCTAAGACATACCCCAGCCTGCTATCTTTAATTAGCCAAAAAGTCCTTGGGTTAATCAGTTTATTATTGTCATGTAAAACCCCACAGGGAAAATAGGCTTCCATGGGCAGGTTCCCTTCCTAGTCCAGACACTGCAGAAACAGGGCGGGACGGGGCAGGGCAGGGCTGGGGCCAGGCTCAGCGCCGGAATCTGCCATTGCTGCTGACCCCCGTGGTCAGCTCTGGTGGGTGACATGTAAACATGGAAGCCCCGAAAACCAAAAGAAAGGTCACCTGCAGTGGGCGAGCCTAGGCCACACACCTCGGGTCGGCCTGTGGGGAGGAACCCGGAGGCTCCGGGGATCCAGGCCAGGAAGGACCCCGGCAGGACGGCGCCTGCCCCCAACACTGGGCCGCTCCCCACCGTCCCCCGAGCTCCTAGGTCTGTGTGGAGCCCAAAGGACCCGGACCTGCCCAAGGGCGGCCTGAGAGGAGAGGCCCGGGCGGAGGACACGGAGGCCCCAGGTGGGGGCTGCTCCAGGCCCGCCGGGACCCCCAGGTTCCCCGGAGCAGCAGGCCCGCGAGGCGGAGGGACGGAGCCGGTCCCGCAGCCGCCAACCCAGGCCGGGCGCTCCGCGGCCTCCGTAAGCTGCCGGACGAACGTTGGTGACGCGTGGCTGTGCCTGTGCAGCAGGAACCAGGTACCAGGTACCCGGGCCCCCACCTCCGCGACGGCCCCCCTCCGGGCCTGTGCACCCGGCCACTCTCCCCCTCACCCACATCCGGGAAGTCGAGGCAGGGGCTGGGAGCGGGACGTCCGCTACGGACCCTCAGTTTTCATCGCCCAAAGGCAGGGAGAAGTGGGGGATCTGGGCCAAGAAGCGGGTCTCCTGATTTCTCTGCACTTGGCAAGACCGATTGCGAACTTTGGACGTTACTTTTTGATTGATTGCACAGCACGCACCCTTCCTTTCGCCCCCAGTAGTTGCCCTACCCCTCCCCCCATTAAAGTGCATTTTCTTTGGAGACTTTTTCAAAGTCTTTGAAATAATTGGAAACCTCTGGTCTTGCTACACCTTATTTGCAAATCTTTGTGTAGGGCGGTGACACAGAAGAAACAAGACAGTAAGTGAAGTTGGTGAAAGGAAATGCTCAGCCCTCCCTCGTGAACAGGGATGACCCCCGCCCCCCAGCACACACGCAGAGGCTGGTGCACTGCCATCCTCCCTGTCTCCCACCCTGAGGAGCCCTGGTCATGATTCTGGAGTTTGCTGTGGTTGCCAGGAACAGTGCCGAACATGGAGTGCGCTCCCGAGAACTGTTTAGAGATGAATGAGAGGACTGAATCACTAAATCAACTGGACTGGTGCCACAGCAAATCAAACAGGGAGCGTGTCCTACAAAGATGAAAATGTGCTGAGACCAGGCCGCTGGCGGTGGCCTGGCCCTGAGCCGGCCGGACCCGGACCAGCAGCTGTCATTCACTTTCTCCAAGGGGCTCGAGGTATTTACTGACTTCCCAATAGTGATGAATACACAGAAAATAGCATCTCTGGGCCACTCTGAGTTCCTTAAAAAGGAAAGTAAGAAACTCTCCCAGTTACACGGTTATTTGGGCAAAAGCTGAGTTCCCACTAGAGAGATCTGACTGCAGCCTTCCTGGCAGGGACAGCTTCTATGAAGTCTCTAAGGACCCTGTCTGTTGCCCTGGTGTTACCTAGTGTGGTAGGGTCAGTGACAGCTGTTGCTTTCCACGTGTTACTGTCAGAAATAACCCTTCCACTCACTCACCACGAGCCTGTCAGGTGGAGACTTTAGCAATGAGGAAATGCCGCAGACTGTTCCAATCAGGACGGGGCCGTGCCTGAAGTCTCCAGGGAGCACCCACTTGCTTAGCCAAACCCCAGACACTTAATTGAAAAGCAGAAGCGAAAGGAAGACATGGTTCCTGAAAGGGTTATTCTGACTTGGACTGGCTATAAAAATGCTATTGGCTGTTAATTCTGCGTGGCCAAAGTGCACCCAGAATGTCTTCTCTCTCTATCCAGTGCATTTGTTACTTTGGCTAGAAGGAGGCAAGCGGCACTCTGCTCTTCCAGAGCAAAGATGGAGCAACAGGATCAGTTCAAGAAGGAAGGGGTGAGTGTGCTGCCCAGTGAAGGAGCCAAGAGCAGCCCCACTGCCAGGGCCTGTGCAACCTTCCTAGAGAGTCCCTGGGGGCTCTTGGTGTTGCAGAGGGAGCTCTGTGCTGGGGGGATCGTTTGGGGGGACCTGCCCCTCAGAGTCTACCCAGCAGCTGGACTTGTACAGAGAGGAGAGGAGAGGTTTAGAGACAAGTGTTCTTTGGGAATCATTCTACTGGAACATCTTTTAAAAGTAGTACCTGTAACCGAATTGAAGAGACTCAAATTGTTAATTTGTCCCTACTTCAACCAAATATGTTTGGTTACAAAATCCTTACACATTTGGAGAGATTTGTTTTGTTTTGTTTTGATTTTGGCTTCAGAACATTAAACTTTTCAGCAAGTAACATAGCTGAGCTGCATGAAAACAAGATAAACTCAGAAAAGGGGTTGCTAGGTTTTAATTCAGTTCAAATCTGTCAGAGGTTCCCTGCCTTTTAGATGATGAGGCTACCCTTTTTTAGAGACCAAAGATTTTTGTGGACCTCCCACCATGTAATTGCAGTTTACTTTTTAGATGCTGGTGACTGAGGAAAATGCATAATGACAGAAAAGTAACATGGATTTATGAACACTTTAAAAGATTTATTAACACTTTATTAATCCTGATAGCATCGGCTTATATTTGAAGTGGGAGAAGAGTAGTACACATTTGTGCAAAATAGTCCTGATTCAGGCATGGATGTGAGACCCAGGCCATAGGCAGACTGGAAACATGCTCTGTAGGGCGCAGGTTAAGAGTGGGTCTGGGAGGTAGAAGCCCCTGGGATTCATTCCTGCTCCGTCCTATTCTAGCTATGGAACTTGGGCAACTTCTTTAACTCTCTGTGCCTCAGTTTTCTCATCTGCAGAGTGGGAATAATAGCCATGTCACCTCACTGAGTACTGGCACAATTTAATGAAATAATGCATGCGAAGTGCCTGGCACATAGTGAATTCTCCGTGAATCTTACTTCACCATCAACCTTTCAAGCCGGATTTCTCCACCTCCACACTATAGACATTTGGCGCTGGATAATTCTCGGCTAGGGGGCTGTCCTGCACATTGTAGATGTTTAGCAGCATCCCTGGCCGCTACCCACTAAATGCCAGTAGCACCTTCCCCCAGGTGTGACAGCCAAATGTCCCCTAGAGGGCAGAATCCACTGCCTTAGGGCTTACTGAGCACCTTCACTTGGATTATCTTGTTTGAGTCTCACAACTAAGAAGGTGTTAGATTAAGTGTTATCACCTCTACTTTATAGAAAAGAAACTGAGATGATGAGACTTAGGTGTTTTGGAGGTCCTGGTCTGGCCTGTGCCGGAGAGAAAGGCACTGACCACCATGCCGCCCGGTGCAGCCGCGGAAAGGAAAGGAAATGCCCATGTGGGGCGAGCCCTGAAAAGGAGCGATCCGTTGGGAAAGGAAATGATTCAAATGGCCATCTGCAAAGATGCGATCTGATTCCGGCCGCCTGCCCCTCAGTTCTCCAGGAGGGAAGCCTTCTCCCGGGCCAGGCGGGGCGAAGCCGGAGATGAGCTTCCCCTTCCTGAGGGCAGCCTGCCCCTTGGGAAGAAAGCCAGGACACATGCCGGGCTTCTTGGGAGACTTCAAAACAAAACCGCCCAGTGGCTTTGGGAATGTGGGAAATCACCCAGTGAAGCTGACGGGGGACTTAGGAGCCGAGGAGAAAGGAGGGGTGTGCAGAGCCTGCACAGTCTGGGGAGGAGGGTGCCAGGCAGTGGGGAGGGCCCAGCCCCCTGTCCCTATGTCCCTTGGTGGCTGCCTGACCGTGGCCTCACTGGTCTTTGCCTTTCTCATATGTAGAGAGAAAAAAACAGTATCTGTCAGATGCGCATCAGGGACTTTCTAACAGGAAAAAAGACTTTTGGCCCGAAAGAAAAAAAAAATGGGTTGGGAAAAAATAAAACGATAGACAACAAAGCACTCTACAGCCACATAAGAATTGTTGCATGAAGGCCCCCCCCCAAAAAAAAAGATGCCAAAGTGCTTTGGAAAATGAAAATACGTATTTTTGTGGAGTGTCTCCATCACCAACAGCTTAGTGTCCTGGAGCAAGTAACTTCCCCTCGGTACTTCCTGGGTCCCCACTGATATTCATTCGTGTTAATTGATTGATTAATTAGCCCGTGTGCAACATTTACTACAGCCTTAGAGTGGCTGTGAGTGTTCTGCATGTATGAATTCATTCATTCCTCACCGGTCCTATGAGAAAGGGCGTATCATTATCCCCCCTTTAAAAGCGAAGGGACTGAGGCACAGCGAAGTCCAGTAAGTTGCTCAAGGCCACACAGCCCTGGGCTCCAGAGCTGTTCTCTAAACCACCCCAGTGACAAGATAAGAGCCTGCTGGGGACCGCTGGCCTCTAAGACACCTAGCTCTAAACTGATGTTTATCTCTCCTCTCTCCCCTCACTGCCTGTTTGTCAAACTTTGAGTTCCGTCGTGTGATAAAGTGACTTAAAGTGTTACGATTCATAAGAGCTCATCTTTCCAGGGATACTGGCATTCTGACCGGAGATCCCTGAAGAGGAAAAGTCTGGAACAGAATGTCTGTCTGAGGGCAGAAACTGAGAGGAGGTTCCCAAGGGGGATGGTTGGGTGGGGCTTCCTTCCCCAGTTCCTTGCGTCACACCTGCCGAAGGTCAGCCCTGAGGGTCGCCAAGCTAAAGAAAGGAGCGGAGGCCAAATTGGTGCAGAGTTTATCTGGGCCGAAGTTGAGGATCGAAGCCTGGGAAACACTGGGAAGGAGAGGCTTAAGTTTTTTAAGGAAAAAGGACAAATCAGGAGAGGGGACGGTGACCAAAGTAGTCTGTCGGGAATTCGCACTGGTTTACGGGAATAACATTGATCCGTGATTGGCTATGCGTTGTTGAGCTGTAGGGTGTGAGTTACGGCGTCCAGTGTGGCACTGGTAGGTCAACGCATGGCTGCTTGGTGGTGACACTCAGTCCAGAGCCCACAGAGCAGGTGGGTTTCTGAGCTGGAGGCGGGAGTGGGCCGTGACCGCTCTCACATTTCAGTGCTTCTCCCGGCCTGATCATTTAAAGGGGTTTGCAGTCCTCGGATAAAAGGTTTCTTTTCTTTCTCAAGGTGGTTGATTTACTAAAGTCTCAAAACATTCTCTGCATTATGAAAAGTAGGAAGCTGGTTTACTGAGGGCAGGAGGGATTAGGTTCCTGGTTTCCCCCTCAAAGCACGGCTCAGGGTCAGAACCACTCCCCTTAGCCTCTGAGGACCGGCCCAGCTGCTCACATCTGGGGAAGCGCAAGGGCTTCTCATTTTATTTTATTTTATTCCAGGGTATTGTGAGGGTACAAACATTATGGTTACACTTTATGTCTTTGCCTCACCCAAGTGTGGGTTAAAGGCATGCCCTTCCCCCCATACAGTGTGCCCTGTGTCCTTTAGTTGCGGATTTACCCCCCCATCCCCCTAATCCCTGGAGAGTATTTCTGCCATGTGATCACCCTAGTGTTGATCAGTTAGTACCAATTTGATGGCGAGTACAAGTGGAGCCCGTTCTTCTGCTCTTGTGGTGCCTCACTTTGGATAATGGGCCTAAGTTTAATCCAGGAAAGTATAAGAGATGCTAGATCACTGTTGTTTCTTATGATTGAGTAATATTCCATTGTAAACATATACCAAATTTTAATAATCCACTCATGGATTGACGGGCACTTGGGTTGTTTCCACATCCTTGCAATAGTGAATTGCGCTGCCATAAATATTCAGGTGCAGATGTCTTTATTGTAGAATGTTTTGTGCTCTTTTGGGTAGATGCCTAATAGTGCTATTGCTGGATCGAATGGAATTTCTATTTTTAGCTCTCTGAGGTATCTCCAAATTCTTTTCCACAAAGGTTGCACTAATTTGCAGTCCCACCAGCAGTGTAAGAGTGTTCCTGTCTCTCCACATCCTCGCCAGCATTTGTTGTTTTGGGATATTTTGATAGAGGCCAATATCACCAGGGTTAGGTGATATCTCATTGTGGTTTTGATTTGCATTTCTCTAATGATTAGAGATGTTGAGCAAAAGGGCTTCTCATTTTAGCAAACTGGCCAAAGACCTGCGCATCCTCCTCAGCCCCGTCCTCTCCCTCATGTGCTGACCCAGCCCAGTACCAAATTCTCTTTTTCTCCATCCTGGAAAGTTAAAAAAACAAAACAAACAAAAAAGAAAACAGAGTGATCAGGAGTTGCACTTGGCTGTATGAACAAAACCTGTTGCATTTTTGTCTTGCTGGGAAGAGAATTAGAAGAGTCGAACTTTGTAAACGACATTTTCTGTCTTTCTCTCTCTTTCTTACTTTTGTTTGTTTATTCTTTCTAACAAAATCAAGCCATAAAACAGCTGTAGGGGAGGGTTTTTGTCTGGTTTGTTCACCTGTATCCCCAGCGCTTAGAACAATGCTTGGCCCACACTGGGTGCTCAATATGTTGAACGAATGAGTGAGTGAATGAATGAATGAATACCCTGGGCGAATCAGTGGAAGGGGAGCCAAGTCTACCGTGTCCTAGAAGGTGGGTGGGTGTGGGGCTTTCCTGGAACCTGCCTTCCCCACTGTGCAGGTCACCCGTTCCCCCGCGGCCCTGAGAGAGACCGAAGCCCGAGAGCGCTGCCCCTCCGCGGGCTGCCTCTGAGGCTGTCATCCTCCTCACCAGAAACGTCCTGCTGAATCAGCCACCTGTTCATTCATTAATAAGTTAATTAATGAATTGTTAATGAATTAACCGTTTGCTAATTCACTTGATGGAAGGAGAAGAATGTCACAGTCAAAAGAGAAGGGTGAAGCTTCACTTGTCCTTTTGCTTTTCTTTAGCAGCTTTTTTGAGATATTGACATAAAAATTGCATATGTGTAAAAAGTGTACAACGTGATGTTTTGATACACATGTGCATTGTGAAATGATAGTCACGGTCGAGCTGGTTGGCCATGTCCGTCGCCTCTACATAGCTACCGTCGCGGGGGGTGTGGGGGTTGCTCTCCCGGGCTCCGTGCAGGGGCCGCTCTGCAGAGGTCACCTCCATCCTCCCGAGCGCCACAGGGCAGGAAGGATCCCTGTTTCTCTCCTGTCCTGCCTCCTCATTTGCCTCTCTCAAGAGGTCCTCTTAGCTGCGGTGGGACAGTGCCCAGAGGAAGACGTGAAGACCCCAGCTTGCCACCGGAAGGGTTGAGCGCAAGCCCTCGTCCCGTGTGAAAGGAGGTCTCGGTCAGAGCGGTGAACGGAGGGGCTGCGATAGGAGACTGGGCGAGCGGCACCCCAATCTCGCCCCCCGCAGCAGACCCAGCTCTACGGCTGGACGTGTTCGTACGCAATCCTTCCATAACTCTGTGACCGAGTGTGACTGTCCACTTTGGAGATGAGGAAACTGAAGAGCGTAGAAATTAAGCTAGAAAGCGGCAGTGGGCAAAGCCTTTTCTGGGCCTATTTTTCTCCCTCTTTTCATTACTTTACTAAAGAATTCCCTCTTGTCCAAGGAGGGTATTACTAATATCACAGATTGTTTGAGTAAAGCGTCCCTAGAGATCTATATTCAAATATTTTTTCAGTGTGTCTTCTACCTCTTATAGCAAAGGTGCAGGGGCTGAAGGAGATTTGTCAGTGCCTCTAAATAATTAACATTTGTAAGATTTTTTTTCTCTCTGACTTGTTGGGGAGGGTACATTTGAGACCGCGCTTGAGCCCGTTTGCCATAGTTGGAGAATACAGCCATGTAGCAGGATGTCACGGAAGCACTTCAGGCATTAGATGGAGTATTGGAGTGGTAGGTTTCCATTTTTATCTGACCCTTTGTTTCTCAACTGAGGGCAGTTCCCCACCAGGGGACATTAGCAAAGTCTGGAGACATTTGGGTTGTCACAGGTGGGGAAAGGGATGCTAGTGGCATCCAGTGAGTAGAGGCCAGGGATGCTGCGAGCATCCTACAAGGCACAGGACAGCCACCCACAACAAGGAATTGTCAGATCCCAAATGTCAGACCTGCCATGGTTGAGAAAACCACGGTGGGTCGGGATTGTCAGATCCCAAATGTCAGACCTGCCATGGTTGAGAAACCCACAGTGGGTCGGGAGTCATTGAAAGCCTACAGATCCTCAGAGTTGACTGCAGCTTCCTGCAAGACTTTCAAGTAAAGCGGGAGGTCCCTGGACCCCTGGGGCTGCTTTCTGACGGAAGCCGTAATCTCTCCGCAGAGGCTGACACTTGTGCTTGCCCTGGCAACCCTGATAGCTGCCTTTGGGTCATCCTTCCAGTATGGGTACAACGTGGCCGCTGTCAACTCCCCAGCAGAGGTAGGTTGCTATGGTGAGTGAGATTCAGCTCCTGAATAAACAGGGAGGGAGGTTTGGAGCAACCTGTAGCCAGGTGTGGCCGGCCAGCATGGGGCTGTGTACACAGTGAGTGCACATGGTGCATGTTCAGGCGAAGGGACAGGGAGACACGCTCAATGCAGGCACAGGGCCCTTGGGATCAACCAGGTCCCCAGACTTCAGCTTCTCCTGGAGGGCAGCCAGGACACATATGGCTGGACACATGGTGGGCTGGACTCCAGGAGAGGGCTCTGACCTTCTGTGGCCTTGCAATTGCTATAAGAGTCTGGAGGGAGCAGGGACCACCCAGCTAACGGGAAGATTGGAGTCATTCCTTTCTGGTTGAGAAACGCGCTGGGCGGTTTGCCAATCTGAGGCCTCCCAGCCCTCCCCGTGGGTGCTGTGGCTAATGTGCTGCTCTCCAAGCTTTGTCCCAACTCCCTTTCCCCTACTTAGCAATGCTGATCTTTATGTGCCTGTGTCACCCCGTTGGGTGGCCTGACAGCTTACGTTGCTCTTTCTGCGAAGCAAGATCAAATTATCTTAGTGTTCTGTTTTGCTTTGTTCCCTAGTTCATGCAACAGTTTTACAATGACACCTACTATCACAGAACCGGTGAATACATGGATGCCTTCCCCTTGACGCTGCTCTGGTCTTTAACTGTGTCCATGTTTCCCTTTGGAGGCTTCATCGGATCCCTCCTGGTCGGCCCCCTGGTGAATAAATTCGGCAGGTGAGGGAAAGTGAAATTTTCAACTCCCTGAAACTCATCAGAGATTTAAATGTACACCTAAAACTGAAATCTTCATCGTGACACTAGGGTAATAACCAACCACTGTGGTCATGTTTATTATCTAATGGGGTCATAAAAAGAAGACCAGACATTGACAAAGTGTTTGAGGGCCGAGGCAAAGTCACAGGGGTTGGAAGCAGGAGTGGCTGCAGATCCCCCCACTCTCAGGCAGACGTGGGAAGAGCCGCACATACTTACCGAGACCCAGGACTCACCTCGGCGCTCGCTGCTCTTTCACCTTGAAGATATTTTCCTTACCAAAACCAGGATGAGTCCTTTCCTTGACTTTTCTGCCTTTACAAATTGTCAGACGCTGAAAGGCTTGGCCAAGGTGTTGGTCACAGTGTAGATCATGACCTGGTGTTCTTGAACTCTCAACAGAAACTAATACAATGACCCTCTTTCCTGCTCTCTTTTACCTAGGGACCAAGTAATATGCAAAGTTTAACCCAAACTAAATTCCCGTAAATCTCTGAAATGTCTGAGATTAATGTCAGGCACTTTAGCGTGTGACAGTGTCACCCTAGGACGTCTCTCTCCAACGGGGTTGGGGCTATATCTTTGCCCCTATTTTTTAAAATATTAGAAATTCTGTATTTTATTCCAAAAAAGTTTTCTTAAGGTATGATACTCCCTAATGTAAATTCCATGGACATTACGGAGCAACTCGTTCATAGCAGAACTGTAGACATTACTTGCACATGCTTAGAAGTGAAATTTGCTTCTAAGCATCTGCAAGTAAACTCTATACTGTTCTTCTGTTATCTTGAGCAAATATCTTCACAATATATTGCCTTATTTTTTAATCATACATATAGTATCTTTTTATGCAAAAATTTTAGTATTTCAAATGGTCGAATTTATGGTTTTTGCTTTTTGTGTTTTAAGACAGCTTTCCTCACCTGGAGTCTTAAGGATATGCTTCTATACTTTTTTTTCTTTCTTTTTTGGACAGAGTCTCACTCTGTTGCCTGGGCTAGAGTGCTGTGGCATCAGCCTAGCTCACAGCAACCTCAAACTCCTGGGCTCAAGCGATCCTCCTGCCTCAGCCTCCCAGGTAGCTGGGACTACAGGCATGCACCACCGTGCCCGGCTAATTTTTTCTATATATTTTTAGTTGTCCAGCTAATTTCTTTGTATTTTTAGTAGAGACGGGGTCTCGCTCTTGCTCAGGCTGGTCTCAAACTCCTGAGCTCAAACGATCCTCCCGCCTTGGCCTCCCAGAGTGCTAGGATTACAGGCGTGAGCCACCGCGCCTGGCCATGTCATAGATTTTTAATAGATCCCTTTATCAGCTTAAAGAAGTTCCTCTATTTATAATTTGTTAAGGCTGTTTCTTAAAAAAATCATAGTAGTATTAAATTTTATTGACTTCTTTTGCTACGTCCGTTGAGCTAATCCTATATTTTTCCCCAGTGTGATCTTTAATATGGTGAAATACACTGAAAGATTTTTGTATATGCAGTTGAATTCAATCTGCTAATATTTCATTTAGGATTTTTGCGTCTATGTTGCCATAAGTGAGATTGGCCCATGGTTTTTTTTTCCTTCTAATGTCCTTACCCAGGACAATTTTGGGTTTGGGTTTCAAGATTACATTAAAATTATGAATTAGCTTATGATTTCAAAAACCTCTTAGTAACAATCACTTCTCAGCCTTTTGACTAAGACCAAGTATAAAAAACCTTTTGCTATATTTGATATGGATCCCTTCCCTCCCATTCTCACCCTCTGGACTGTGGTCATTTTCACTTGCTCCCACGCAGGCAATATTCCCACGTCATTTGAC